CAAATCTTAAATTTACCTTAGTAAAATACCACCAAATGAAGACTTAGAAGGCATGATAATTCATGTTTGGGGTGCGATAGACTTATCTGTACGTGGTGTACCCCGGGCAACGTATTCTCATACGGCAAAAAAGTCTATAAATCGGCAGTTGACTTCTGACTTCAAATTGCCATGACCCCACTGTATGTCATTTCGACCACGTCCACCGTACTAATATTACCTTTTCTCTGCCTTTGTGTCTGTTTGTCTGTCTCTTTAACATCTTTGAATCACTCTTCTGTTCCCCCCTATCCACTTTTTCTTACTTTGTTGTTTCTCTCTTCTGTGAAGCCCGAAGTCAGCTAAGGGGCTAATGTGAAGTGACATAAAGCCCGCCATTTGAAATAAATAAATGAATATTAATGATTCAGGTGCTTAATAGGTATATAATGGAATAGTTGCTGCCATAACAAAATTGGCCTATATCTCAATCCTACCTTACTCTTACTCTGGTTGACATCCATTAAGTTTACTGGTCTTAATTAGCAATGCTTGAAATTTTAGGAAAATTGCGGTGGTAAGATAGCTTACTTGATGATGGCAAGGAAGGGGATAGCTAGGCATGCAGTAGATCATGGGTGGCATGCAATGGCACGCATGGTTTCGAAATTCCGGGCTTTTGCTTCGTTCATGAGCTCTCCCAAAATTCTTTTGCGGCGCCACATCGGTTTCTATTTTAAAAAGCAAAATGATAAAATAAGAGGGGCAAGTATACTTAAAATTGCCTAAACTTTAAGCATACATGATTTTTTACAGGTGGAATTTAATTTACTTAACTCACTCAATTGGCATTTAACAGAGTGAACTTTAATACCTCAGATAGTTTCGAACAAAGTTGGGGAAAAAATACAGTCACGAATTTTAAAACATAGTACTCAAGTTAAGTTAAGTAGTGAAAAACCGAAAATTCCAGAATTTGAATGATTGTTCTTACTTGACCTAATTCCCTTCACTAAGCACATTGCTTTTACTATTTCCTTTTATCTATTTTGGGAACGGCTGTTATTAAATATTTTATAATAGATGTGTTTAAATTTCACATAATTGTTGGAAGTAGTAGTAGTAGTAGTTACTTTATAATAAATTCCACCATGTAAAAATGTAATTTAAATATATAATTCAAATTAATATTTACTTTACAGTTTTGTTATATTGCACGATTTTTGTAGATTGTTATTTGAATTTACTTCAAGAGTTTTGGTGTATTACTAAACGCATGAAAGCTTTTATTAGGCGTTAAAATTAAGTATTTATTGCAAAACCAATCGCAATTTTAATGGGAATTTTTCGTAAGAGCAACCTTTACATCAATGTTATTTTTAATTGATAAATATAATCTTAATGATTAAAACCTATATCTGTATGGCATGTGTCCTTTGACACAAGATCCTAACCAATCTAACAACATTTATCTAAACAGTTTATTAAAATAAAAAAATTCAATTAAAATAGAATTTAAATTCCATTACTAAGTGAGTGGAGGGGGGTTCGATATTTTTCAGGCAATTAGGCACCTGGTGAAACACTTTCACCAAATTCTCGATAAATAGCTCAAATTTACCCCCAAACACAAAATCATTTAACTCACCCATATTTTGCGTTTTTTGGCATTATTTTCACTAACTTTTATGTTTAAGTTGCGCTATCTAGCCAATAAATTCAATTAACCACGGAGTCGAAACATGGTCTATTTGATCGAAGTCAGACGTATTGTCTTCTTTATTCCCTACTGCAAATACTTGAATAATAAACTTGGGCAAAAAATTTAAATACGCGTCTTTTGCTAAATGCTCAGATTTATTAAAACTCTGGCTCCTAGATAAGACAAGTAGCGAACGGAATTGACGTGACGAAACATTTCCCCAGAGGCAAAGAGTCAGTATCTTTGATGTGAACCTTGGAATATTCATGCATTAAACTGAAAATAATACTGATTTTCTACAATTTGAGGATAATTATATATCAAAATTTCTTATTCGTCAGATTAAGATGATCTCTTGACTATAAAATCTGAAAATAGAAATAAATAGTTTATTATTTCTTTCGATATCAAAAACCAAGATGTCCCTCTGTTAGAATTTTTAGAAGCACTGTGCTACCGAATTAAATCTTGAGGGTGACTAATGCCTAAAGAGAGTAATAATTTGGGAAAATATTTGAATTTTTAAATTTTACCATATGGATAAATTGGTTTTTTTCAATCAATTATACAAAGGGTAAATACAATCAAACTTTTTACAGGGGGGATTACTTATATAGTAATTCAGATAAAATCATCAAATTAATTTAATTTTTACAATTTTCTCACCCTTTGACAGTTTGGATTTCTGATCCTTTTTCTAAGTTTTTACAAAAGAAAGTTGACAATTTAGAGTGAAACGTACTTAGCTTGTATCAAGAAAATGACATTAACAACAATAAAAACAACAAAAAAATCAAAATTCGAAAAAAAATCAAAATATTTCCAACATAATTTCTCTGCTACTGACCAAATTATTATTTTCAACAAAGAATAAGTAATTGAAGAAGGGAATGTTCTGATGGGCGAGCAAATAAATAGTCTGCAGTCAGTTTCGATAAAATTTGAATTTCATAATCAAGTTGATTGCCAATTTACCATAATTAGATTCATCTGTAAAATATTAAGTATTGTTCGCAGGATTTTAGATAGTGAAATAAAACAGTGTCCCATGACAAGTTAGTAAAAAAGAACACTTCAGGACTTTTAAAATTCCCATTAAAATTTCGACACGCAACTAACCCAAAACTTTAATAGAAAATTTTAAATTGTGTAATCTGAAGATTTTATTTTCGGTTTTCTTCACAAATACCATATTGAAAGGTATTAAAATAATAAACTTCTGTTTTAATTTGTCATCAATTGACCAAATAAGAAGAACTATAAAATTTAATAAAAAAAGATTGAATTCGATTGGGCTATCTAAATTAATGTAGCTAAAAACATAATGAATTATTTACTTAACGGCACAGTGTTCAAGATCTATTGCCAACATGAGCTGAATTTCAATCGATAACAAGGACACAAATTGAGTACTTTATTTCCATTCCATTAGAGGGTTTTGAGTTCGTTACATAAACCGCGGGATCGGAAGCCAATTTACGGTCATACAAAATTATGAAATGTTTTTTTATTATGCCCGATATGCAACGTTCAGTGTCTGATTTCAGGTCAAAGAGTGCGATAAGGTCAGAACGTGTCAGATTTTTTGATGAAAATTATGACTACCCTATGATACTCTTTTTGCGCAGATTTGAATGAGTAAGTGTTAGTAAGTGCCTTATGAGCAAATAGTTACTTGGAGGAGTCGTCGTTTGAGTTGTTTCTATTGTATACAGATTCGGACGCGGTTGCAATGGTCGGAGAACGGTTGTTTGTAATTGCTCTGTAGTAGGCGCAAGAGGTGCGGAAGGTTTGCTGATTGAGGTAGATTTGATTGGTGGGGAAGCAGGTTTTGGGGTTTTTGCAGGAGGTGATGAACTCGAATTTGAGATATTTGGTGATGGAGGTAGCTTTGCTGCGTGGTTTTCCTTTTTTGAAGGATCTAAGTTAATCAGATATTGATTTTTAAGAGAAATAAACTACTTTAGTTTCCAATTAAAAAGAATTTTGTATCTCGGAAATTATGGACAAAATTAAATGAAAGAGGTCATGCAAAAGGTTGATTCAAGGACTCCAGGATCTTTACTTCTACTCTTCTTGGCCAAACAATATTTAGTAAAATAGGGTGTGCTATAGACTTACCTCCACGTGGTGCACCCTGGGCAACATATAATTATACGGCAAAAAAGTCTTTTATTCGGCAGTTGACTTCTGACTTCAAACTACCAAGACCCCACTGCATTTCATATTCGAATAATTTCACCTTTTTCTACCTTTGTGTCTGTCTGTCTCTTTTACGTCTGTGAATCATTATTCTGTCCCCCTCTCTAAGTTTTGCACTTTGATGTTTATCTTCCTTTCCTTGAAGCCTGAAGTCAACTAAAGGGCAAATGATACCTCTCATAACGCCTGCCATTTGAAATAAATAAATAAATAAATATTTAGTAAAATTATAACAAACTAAAGCTGGAATTCTGGACTGATAATTTTTACATGTTTCAAAGCGTTTCACATCAACAATCTTATCGATTTCCAACATATGATACTTAGGTAAGTGAATTATCACAGGTAGTTTTCCCATTCATGTCGACCAAGTCAAGCCAAATAAACACTTTTCATTTTGATCTACCACTTTAAGTCATGACTTATTGAGGTAATTTTGACGCTCTTAAATTTAATAGCCAAAGATTCAATTAGTGATTCATTCTGACCAATAATCATACTAATTAATTTATATAATGATTTCACTATAACTGAATACCTAGCTATTGGAGGTACGGTATGGTAATCATGGCAAAAATTAATTAAGCAGGCTAAAATTTAATTATTCGAGAGATTCATGTGCGAATTCAACCGCTATTTTGTGTAATGCAAAATTTGTTTTGCTGACTTACGCTTTTCCTTTGATTTCTCCTTTTTGTGACTTTTTGAACCTGAATATTAATTAATATCACAGGGTAAGGTTCACAAATACAGAAGATTGAATTTAAGCTCAAAATTAGTCACATTTCTTACGTTTTCGTGAGGCCTTTTTCTTTGATTGGGAGCCTCTTGATTTATGCGCATTAGGGGGGTCCGAATAATAGCGATAATAGGGTTCTATCTAGAGGGTATTATTGCAAAAGAATTCAGTAGTCTTGAACGGAAATGACTAATTAATGGCAATCATGCAGTGAAACATAAATGACTGATCTCATTTCTGTATTTAAATGAGGTGTGCGATAGACTTACCTCCACGTGGTGCTCCCTGGACAACGTTTACTCATGCGGCAAAAGAAGTCTATAAACAAGAGATTGACTTCCGACTTCAAACTACCAAAACCCCATTTTATGTCAAATTCGACTGCTTCCACAGTACTCACCTAACCTTATATTCTTCTCTACCTTTGTGCCCATCTCTTTTATATCTGTAAATCACTCTTCTGTTCCCCCTTCTCCCCCTATGGAGCCCAAAGTCAGTTAAAGGGTTAATGATATCTATCATAAAGCTTGCCATTTGATATAAATAAATGTCTGTAATAAATAATTCAAAATTTTAATTTTACTAAATAAGTTACTGTAGGTCAATTAAAATTAGCAAATGTAGGAATATATTTCTCGAAAACTTTGTATTAGTATTCTTTATTGTAGTATACTTTATACATTTAAGTTGTAATGAATCTCCTTCTTTGGCTGTTCTTGATGCATCTAGGATTCGTAATATCTTATTTCCGTGAATTATTGTAGATACTGATGAGTTGACTGAATGAACCATAGTTTCCCATGATCCAATGTATTTTTTCAATATTTGACTTAAGGAGTGCACGGTAGACTTACTTTCACGTGGTGCACCCTGGGCACTGTATTCTCGTATGGCAAAAGAGTCTAATAATCGGCAGTTGACTTCAGACTACAAACTACCATGACCCGAATGTATGTCATATACGACCCCTTCCACATTATTCACCTTACCTTTTCTCTACCTTTGTGTCTGTCTGTCTCTTTTACATCCGTGAATCATTATTCTGTCCCCCCCCCCCCTCTCGATTTGCTGTCACTTTGATGTTCCTCCTCCTCTCTGTGAAGCCCGAAGTCAACTAAATGTCTAAATATTACTGTCAAAACACCCGCCATTTGAAATAAATGAATAAATATTTGAATTATTAGTGCAATTTAGCCAAACATATATTAAAATGATGGATTAATGAATTCGAATTTTGAAATATTAGCACAAAAGGTATTGGAATATGCCTATTAATAAATAGCCGCATGACCT